TTACTCCCATTTTACAAATGAGGAAACTGAGGGTCAAAAAGATGATGTGAATTAACCAGTTTCACATTGTTAGTAGGTATGGAAAATAGGACTCAAATCTGGCACTTTTGAATCTAAGACCAGTCCACTTTCTATTAGCTACTTGTCTAGTTAGGTGGGTTTTTTTTTCTTAATTAGAAGATCTTTGCTATGTAGCATTTTGTTCAAGGTTTAATAGCTTAAAACTGCACTGACTTTTGTAATGCCCAGTGCATACATGTATAGATATTATGTATATATATTCTGTAATTACACATGCATATATGTTTCTTATATCACAAATTTGTATATGTATGTATTTCTACCTGTATATTTGTTATTTAGTCATTTCAGTCATGTTGACTCTTTGTGACCCCATTTGGGATTTTCTTGACAAAGATACTAGAGTTATTTGCCTTTTCCTTCCTCAGTTCATTTGACAGATGAGGAAACCTAAGCAAACAGGGTTAGATGACTTGCCCAGGGTCACACAGCTAGGAAGTGTCTGAGGCCAGATTTAAACTCCAGAAGAGGAGTCTGCCTTTCAATCTAGCACTCTATCTACTGTGCCACCCAATTGCCCTATATAGAGAGAGACATACATGATATATACATACACACATACGTATATACAGCAGCCCCACTATATAACACATGTATATCTGAAAGGAAATAAAACAGCCTTTCTTATAAAAATCTGGTTTGTGGTATTTTTTTTAAGTTTTGATTAGATTTTTCTCTTCGCTATTTCATCTGAATTAGTGAGTTTCTACTATTCTACATGCTCTTGAGTTATATTTTAATTTTTCTCTTGATATTCTGGATTCCTATTAGTAACACATACTGAACGATATTTAAAAATCAGGCTACATTATAAATTGCTTACTTAAACTACAAGTAACCATTCTTGTGAGGTGAAAAAAATGTTAAGAAAGCCAGAGTATTATCTGAGGTTTTTATTTCCAAGATTCTATGATCTTCTCATGAATATAATGGAATAAACAAATCCAAATGCCCAGCCCCTGAAGACTACATCAGACAGACACAACATAAGGCAGCAGCTGTCTCTCACAGTGTTCAGAGTCAGACTTTATGCCTCGTATGTGGAGCTCAACATCACATTCCCAGTGAACAGATGAGGAAACTGTGTCACAGAAGGGTTTGGTTGCTTTCCTTACAACTAGAAAGCAAGGAGCAGAGCAGCAGCTAGAATGTAAAACTGAGCCAATTCTGCGAAATTCATCGGGGAACAAAATCAAATCGTCTGTAGGATGTTGTGCTGAGAAGCTAAGCATTTCATTTTTCAATCGGTCATGACCCAGCATCAATGGAACTTAACCCATCTTCTTTCTTCATTAATTTCTTTGCTTATTCTGTGGAGCCACTCCTTTTCAGCAGAAGAGAGGTCAAGTGAAAGTAGAGTTCTCAGAAGTTCAGTGTTTTATCAAGGGCAAACATTTGATCCTTCCCACTTCTTCCCCCTTTCCCATAAGTCTTATGGTCTGTGGTAGATATCATTTATTTAATGAAGCTGCTGATGATAGGGGCCTGTGGTTGAAGCCTCAAGGTGGAGGAGTACAACAGATATTAGGAGAGCAGCAAAATCCATATAAGGAATACTTTTCCTTCTCTTCCCCAGGGGAAATTCCAGTTGCTCAGAGGGAAGTGAAGTATTCCTCCAGAGTAGTGAGTTTAGTGTTATGAGGTCCTAGGCTCAAATAAATGAAACTGGTTCCAGCAAAGCAAAGCATGAACCAAGGTTGACATATGTGTGGTTTCAGAGTGCCACACTGTATTTAGCTTCTAGCAGTAAGCTCTCAGGAGCAGAAGTGCTGAGTAGCTTTTTTTTGTCATGCCACTTTGGCTGCCACAGAGACAGCTGTGTGTGCTATAAAGAGGGAACAAATAAAACTGTCAAAATGTGATCTTTAATAGCTCTTAAAATATTTTATATATTGTGCTAGCTACTTAGTGTACAATAAAAAAATAAGAATTTTTCAAGTTATTCTCCTGAAATGTCATTTGAAATGCTGATACTGGTAGCAATATCATCTTCTTTTTAACCCCCGAATTTGTTTTGCTAACCTAGGATGATACACCCTTAAAAACAGTATTAATTCAGATATTATTGGGAGCTATTGTAAATGGTTACATAATCAGAAGGGATGGCAGGGCTTTTTCCAACTCAAGTTCATAGTCCACAGTCAAATTTGATAGTGGCTGATTATGTTGAATTATTATGGTTGTGTCACTAATTATTAAGAAAACAGTTTATTACTCTCTTAAGTTGAATTATCAAGGTATTATGGCTTATCTAAAATGTATGTCACTAGCCAGCTGGGGTGCTTGGTTTAAAAGCCTCTTTTGAAGTTCAGAGGGAAACACAGACAAGCAGGAAACATTTGAAAGTAATGTTGAATTTATTATATACTTTTTTAAAAAAACAAGCAGTATGTAATAGTGATTTGTGGTTTCTAATATAGTCCTCTTTTTCTGTTGTGCTTTGCCTATGGAAATGTTCTCTGTTAAATTCAGAACAAAATAAAATTTTTAATTAAAAAATTTGAGAGCTACTTTTCTATCAGGAGCTTAGTGAAGCAAGGCCGTGCAGCATAATGAAGTGATGTGGAGTCCAAGAGCCCAAATCCAAAGCCCAGCTCTATCACTTATTTCCTATATGACCCTGGGCAAACACCTGACCTTATTGAGCCCGAGTTTCTTCATCTAAAAAGGTGTGGGTTAGACTAGATGACATCTGAAACCTCTTGTGGTTCTAAATCTGTGATCTCCCAAAGTACAGTGATCTGCCTAGCTATCTTTACCTGGCCCTCCCTTGACCCCATATGCCTTCCCATTCCTTAATCTTCCCTAGGAAAAGTTTCCTTTCATTTCTGGATAATAGTCTTTTCTTTCCTTCTGCTCCCTTGTCTGTTTGGAACCTTTCTTTGTTCTATTCAGGCCACTGCCTTTCCCTTTTCAGTCTCTTTTAAGCCTATGGGACTTTGCCTATCTGGACCTCATTTTCCCCCACTCTAAAATTAGGGGTTTAGACTAGATGGTCTCCAAGATCCCTCCCAAATCTAGATCTCTAGTTCTATGATCCTGTCTCTGTCATAAATCCTGTTGCCTAACAGCAAAAGGGAAAATATCTTTACCTTTCAACACAGTCTTCTGGCTCTATCTCAGACATGGTGACCTTCTCTTAAGTTCAGGACATGTTAAGAAATTGAACAGTTATTTCCTCATTACCACCTCCTCAGTTATATTTTTAAAAAATTCAAATTTAAGTGACTAAGAAGTGAATCATCAACCCCTTCCCCTCCATGAGTTACAATCAGATTGTGCATTTCCTGCAATTCTTTTCAAATATTTGTGTGTAGTAATCAAAGTGAAATCCCTTTTTCCTCTTTCAAAGATACAAAAGCAGTTGAGGAAATGGAGAGTTGGTTTAATTGACTTACTCAGGATAGCCAGCTACCCTGGTCTTCTGGCACCATACTCAGCACTAGATCCCCTAAAATCCTACTACTTCTCTCATAAAACTTGTTGCTTTGAGGCAGAGACCTTCACAGGCTACATACATCCTTGAATTGGCCATTCTTCTTTCACAGATTCAGCCTGGCTCTAGCTAGATCAGAGAGGCTATGGATGTGAGTTACCCTGAACTTTGATGATTTCTATCTGGGCTTTTCCCAGTAAGGGTCAGTATCAGCCCTTTATTTTGTTTGTTTAACATATTCTAAATAACTCTGTCAGGTTGAAATAGAGTGCTGTACAGATATCTCTACCTTTCAACACAGACACACTGTCTTACGTAAGGGTTTGTCATTTTTTTTTTTAAGCAGCAGTCCCAAGGACCTTGTGTACTCTCTGGCTTATGACTGTAGAGAAAAACTAACGTCAAAGTGCATGCAAGTACAGTGATCTGACAGTGATTCATCCAAGCATTGGAGGAAGGGGACTTGTTATAGGACTGTTATAATTCGCTGTCTAATCTTGTTTGGAAAAAATGGGCTTTGATGGATGAATTTTTGTTCGTTTACATTTGTATTTATCTAACAGGATTGTGGTTAGGAAATGATCCAGGATTCAGGAGGTCAAAAAGTGCCCTATTTCACATACTGAAGTATTCTGTTATTTCACAAGACAGTTTCTCTAGGCAGGTGGTTCAATGATCATTTAGTATGTCAGTGCTGAAAATGGTCACCAGAAAGACAGATTGTGGGGCTGGTAGCCACTCTAAGCTTTTCTGTTGACTCAGGATGGGGCCCTGTATAGTGTGCTTTTCTAGTGCATGGGGGGAAATGCTGCATCTTTTTCATGTGCTTATCTAATCCCCATATCGTTATAATGTGTTTTGAGCAAGTGAACAGTAACAGTAATGCCAATGAATATGATGCCAACTTGAATTTCTGTAGCACCTTTATTCCTGAGAACTCAAAGTACTTTCACATAGATTATCTGCTTTTATCCTCTCAATATCCCTAGGAATAAAGAAACAAAGAAAGGAGGGAGAGACAAAGTATCATTATCTCTAGTTTTCAGGTTCAAAGCTTCCTTTTTTTTAAAAATAGTTCTAGCACAGAGAGACAGTATCTTACATTGTAATAGTAATACATTTCTTCATACTCAGTCTTCCTGAGTCTCTGGTGTTTGTATAAATACCACATTTTGTCCTACTGGTGGAGACCCAGCTTTTGTGTTCTTAAGAGTCTATTTTGTTGTCTTTATATGCTCAAAATATTTGTGGACATTATAATAGGCTTCTTAAAACAATTCATGATATGAGCTCATTCCTTACCCATCTCTGTACCCAGTTATTTGCTTTCACTCTACAGTTTACTGGGGAATCATTTGCATAATTGTGTTAATAATAGGTATACTAATAACTTATTGTCCTCTTTCCTTCAATGAAGAAAATTTTGTGAAACTTTGTGATTTTTTGATTCATATATTCTGTGTGGTTTTTTTCCACCCTCCAGAAATTGAAGCAAAGGAGGCATGTGACTGGTTACGGGCTGCTGGATTTCCACAATATGCTCAACTTTATGAGGGTATGTTTACATTCTTCATTTCTCATTAAGAGGGAATAAATTTGGACTAAGGTAGTGTCAATGCCCTAAGATTCCTTTTGTCTTTCAACTATTTCCTCAGTCCTTCTTAGGATCCCAAGTCTAGGACAGGAAGGGTCCTCTGAGGCCATCTAATCAAATCCCCTTCTTTGATAGATAATGAAACTGAGGCCTGGGGAAGTAAATTATTCATCCAAGGTCACACAGCTATTATTAGTGGAAAGTTTTGAACTCGAGTCCTCTGAATGCAGAACTTTCTGCTATGCTGCCTCCTTTAGTGGTTATGGCACAGAATATAGAGTCAAGGAGATCTGAGTTCAAATCCTTTCTCAGACATTTACTATCTGTGTGACTTGGGCAAGTCACTTAACCTTTCTCAGCCTCAGTTTCTACATGTGTAAAATGAGATTAATAATAGCACCAAATTCAGAGGGTTGTTGTGAGAGTCAAATGAGATAATAAAGCCCTTTGCAAACCTTAAAGTGCTATATAAATGGTAGCTATTGTTAATATCTTATGCCATAAGGTTTTTGTATAGAAATGCAAAAACTATTGTAGTTTAGGGAAAATAATCTCTTCTTCCTTTGCTTTCTTTTCTTCTTGCTGTCCACCAGTTCCAGCATCTCTTTACCATGGGCCCCAAGTCTATATTCTCTCTGTAGTCATCTCTCCGTAGTATCTTTAATTTCCTCTTCTTCCCTATTCTTGCCTTGTCAGGAAGCCCCAAAAATTGGTTTAACATTTTTATGCTATGGTAAGTTTCCTAGAAATCACGTCAGAGTATGTCTATATATCTTCTCTAATGTGGGGGGAAAATACCTCGATAAACTTTTTGGATCAAATGTTTTAAGTGTCAGCCCACGGAACGCTTCCTTTTTATTGACTTGAACTGATGTACAAGTTAATAAAATGAACGACCCATCTTTAAAATTGTGTCAAAGCTCACCAACTATAGTTAATGCTACTGGAACATTTGTATTTATAAATAATGTCATCTTTCTTTCACCAGTTCTACACATTTATCTCCTTGGGTGATATGTAGGGACTGAGGAATAGAAAAAGTGAGTCAAATCAAGCCCTTGCTGATTTACTGACTTGTGGCAAGACACTTACCATCTCTGTGCCCCACTTTCTTCTATAAAATACTCAATTTCCCTACTCTTCACTGGAATGTGAGAGAGAAAGGGGGAGATGTCTGAGCATACTCTGAAATTGTTCCATAAAAGGTTCTTTGTGAATCCAAAGTAATATTAGTTTAATATGTGAAACACTCATAATGAGAAATTTATATAAATTTTAATTAAACTGTACTTCCCAGGTGCATATAAACAGATATGTTGAATATATGACGGGTGAGACAGTATTTATCTTAACATGGCTGAAATTCACTTTCCTAGCTTTGGCCACCAGAGGGGGAATAGTTTTCATCATTGTAGGTTGTAGTTTACAGATCAGTTTGAGTACAGATAAATGAGATGTAATTTATCTTGAATTTAGGAGCTTTGGGGTCCAAAATATGAGATAGTGAACAGAAAGGAAAATAAAGCAAATGATAATGCTGAAAATTAATATTACTGGCCATTTATATCTGGCTAATAACACTTAGTTCTGAGTACTGATCTACAAGCCAAGCATATGTGATAGATAGTGCTTTGAAAAACTGCCAGGTGACTGGGATCCCACAACGTTCTTGGGGCAGAGTATGGTGTTAGCCATGTAGCTAATTTCTCAGTATAAATATTAGAAGGATGTTTAGCTTTTTCTGGCAATGTGGGAAAAGTGTACTCTTAGATATTTCTTTACTAGTCTTAATAAAAAAGTTTTTGAGGTACCTGGGATTTGGGAGACATTTTAGAAACTAAAGGCAAAAACATTTCTCTTTCCTGAGAGAGAATGTGTCTGTTCAGCCAGATAGCTCACAAATTCAGTTGAGTGTGATTAAGTGGCCTTAGTACAGATGTCAACTCTAAGAATGTTTCTCAGAGTCCAGGTCAACATACCTCGTTGATAATGTGGAGATAGAAAAGCTTAGGTTGCTTAATGTTTGATCATACCCAAGGTCAGACACATAATTGTTGTCATAGCTCAAATTTTCTTCACACTTTTAGAAGTACTTATCACATTTACAATAAAACCATCTGTTCTCTTAAGCTTTGTCAGCAGAGCTTTTACCCAGGTTGTAGCATTTTAGTGGCTAAAGTAGATGCCCTCTATTTCAGAAAGAAGGTGCTATGGTCCTCATGATTTTTTTTGTTATTAAATCAAATGTTTGTATGTATCTTTTTTTGTAGATTCACGATTTCCCATCAACATCGAAGCTGTAAAGAAAGATCATGATTTTCTTGAAAAGGACCTTGTAGAACCTCTTTGCAGGTAAAACACATGAAATATTTTTGCATTTTATCTTTTAGCTTCCAGAAGGATTTGGATTATACTCATCTGCATGAATAATATAGTGACACATTTGCAAACAAAAAATATAACGTCCTGTTTAATGCAAAAAGTAAATGACTATTTAATGCCCTTAGTAAATGTACTTAAACTTATTCAGTAATTCATTCAAAAGATTGTGACTGTTCTTGCACAATTTTGTTCATTCACTCAAAGGACTTTTGTTAATACCTACTTCGTGCAAAGCCCTTTGCTAGGGACTAAATAATAATAGCTTAAATTTATTTGTATTAGCTCTGTACAGATGACTCCCAGATGTCTATATCTAGCCCCATCTCTCCCCTGAGCTTCAGTCCTCCATCATCAGTTAATTGCCTATTGAACATTTTCACATTGGATGTCTTGAAAACATCTTAAATCTCAACATGTCTAAAACTGAATTCATCTTTTCCCCTAACTACTCCCTTTTCCCATTCTTCACTGTTTCTGTCAAAGGTACTACCATCCTTCCAGTTACCCAAGTTTGTAATCACATCATTGTCCTAAATTCCTCACCCTTCCTCACCACACATCCAATCAGTTGCCAAATCTTTGTACCTTTACACCATCTAACACATCCTCTCCTGTCCTCCACTCACACAGCTACCACCTTAATTCAAGCTATCATCACCTCTCACTTAGAGTATTACAGCAGCATCTTTATTGGTCTTTCTGCCTCAAGTCTATTTCCACTCGACTATATTCCACATAGCTGCCAAAGTAGTTTTCCTCTAGTGTGGATCTGACCACATGATTCCCTATGTAACTAAGCCCAGTGAGTTTCTATTGACATATCTGTTAGGCTTTTAAAACCCTACACCACCTGTTTTTCCAGCCTCATTGGATACAACTCCGCCTTCCACACTACATGAGCTAGCAAAAGTGACCTTCTCCCCCCCTCACGCAAAACATTCCAGCCTGTCTCTGTCTGTCCTCCATGCCTGAAACCCATTCCCTCCTTCAAGAATGTGTGGTCAGTAATATCAAATGTGTCAGAGGTCAAGGAAGACAAAGGTTGAAAAAATACTTTGGATTTAGCAATTAATGGTATATTAATGACTTTTGAGAGTGGAGTTTAATAAAGTTGTAAGAATAGAAGCCAGGTTGAGCATGATTATAGGTTAATTGGATTTAGTGCTTGGACTGACTTTTAAGGTTTCTGGTCTAATCTCATTTGTAAAATGAGGAAACTGAGGCTCAGAAGGATGAAGTAAGTAAATTGGATGGCAAGGAAAGGTAAGCAGCTGATGTAGATTACATGTTTAGTAGGGATTTTGATATGAGATGCATAAAATGGATTTTTTGTGCTAGAAGAGAATTTAGAGGACACCTGCTCTGATCATTTCCATTTATAGATGAGGAAAGCGAGGCCTAGAGAATGCAGCGACTTGCTTCAGCTCTTATTTCCCGTGTGCTGCATTTGGCGATTTAATCTTTTAGCTTCTAAATTAACTGAATGGAATGAAAGAACTGCGAAGTTATCTTGTAAGAATGGAATGTTCCTTCCCGTTCTCCTTCCTTTAGTAGGAGAGACTCACATATCTAAAGGCAAAGAGGCTATAATATAAAAACTGACAGATAATCAGAGGTATACATGCCCCGTCATTTCAGCTTGCCTCATCTTATAGCAGATACTTATGGTAACATTTTACAGAGTGTTTGTGCCCGACCTGTGGTGGAGCCTTCCAAGCTTCAGTTGGTCTGATCAGCCACAGTTGGACACTCTGTACAATGACCTCAACATAGTGAGGTCATTTTGGTCCTCTTTCAACATGAAGGACAACCACCATGGTAACATTTACATTTCCCTTGTGAAGTCAAAATATAGAACCACCACCGTAAAGACAGCTAGGTTGCACAGTGGATAGAGGCCTGGGCCTGGAGTTGGGAAAACCTGAGTTCATATTTGGCCTCAGACACTTATAAGCTGTGTGACCCTGGACAAGTCAGTTAGCCCCTGTCTGCCTTAGTTTACTCAACTGTATGATGGGAATAATAGTAGCACTTACCTCCTAGGATTATTGTGAGGATCAAATGACGTGGTATTTATAAAGTGCTTCATACATTGTCTGGCATGTTATAGGAGCTTAATAAATGTTTGTTTTATTGTTCCTACCCTCCTTTGATCAAATGTGATTTCTGTTTATACAGTAAGAACAATATTGTGGGATTAACAGGGTAGGTTCTATTTTAAAGTAACTTCTACTCACAGATCATGGCTCTAGATAGGTGGAACTAGGGGGAGAAAGGCAGGGTAGAACATATTAACCATTGGTGAGGGATTATAGTATGTGAAGTGTTTTTTGACTACGATGATAAAATTGAGAGACAATGTTAGTTCTTGAATATTTCAGAAGTTCTTCAAACAGAAGGAGTTTCTTATTAGCTACTACATATTTCCCAATTTCACCCTAGGGTGCCATGGCTATGGCTGTCTAATAGGGAACTGAATATTTGGAATTGTATTCAAGTCTGGAATATGAGGATGTTTAAACTGTAAACTGTAAGCCAAATTAATTAGATGTGATTCTAAAATGACAGGTCTCAATCAAGGAACCAAGTAAAAAAATCAGATATTATTATGCTATATGCATATGAAGGGTTCTATATTACAGAAAGCTGTGTGGCATCAGTGGACATAGTTATGAATGTCAGGCATATGATCTGTGAATTATAGCTCTTGTTCTGACACTTGTTGTCTATGTAGCCTTGGTTAAGTCACTGACCTTTTCCATCAGGATATCTTCTGCAAAATTCTCTGCAGAAGTGTTATGAGGGAGAAGCATCAAAATAACTGTAAAATATTTTTCAGATGTAAAGTTCTAAGTAATAACTGTCAGCCAAGAGCACTAAGAGTCTTCTTTAAGAGTCTATAACCTACGGGGCAGCTAAGTGGCCAGTGCATAGAGCACCGGCCCTGAATTCAGAAGGACCTGAGTTCAAATCCAGCCTCAGACACATAACACTTACTAGCTGTGTGACCCTGGGCAAGTCACTTAATCCCATTGACTAGCCAAAAAAACAAAACAAAACAAAGAAGAGTCTATTCTACAAAGGAGAGATGAATTTTCATCATTATTGAACGTTATTTACCTAAAACATACACATTTCTGTGGACCCAATTTGCTGTGTAGTGCTGATCATTCTCTGTGGTACAGACAGCGGGACAATTTGTTCATGTTTTTGAAGTCATACTTTGAAGAGCTATGTATGATTCACCTTAGTTATTGAATGGGTGTTACTCTCTCGGCATTTATTTATTTACAAAGGTACCAGACAATAGGTGTTATTGAGATGGGACAGGCTTGTATGTAGAAAGAGGTTTAGAATGGCAGGAGATTGTTGAACTTGGAACACTCCTAATGGCAAGATACATTTCCAGAAAATATTTTCAAGCAAAAAAGGCCTTTGGCTTAGAGTTTGCTTAGACCCTTCATGGGGCAGAGAAGCAGGAGAGAAACACACACAATGTTTGGTGAACAAAGGAGACAGAAGGAGCCCCACCCATTTTTTTTGGAGGATCAAAGGGAATAATTACTGAAGCAACAGAGATGAGTGGGCTCGTCCTCTACAATTCCAGTGTCAGAGTGTGGGCAAGGCAAAGAAAGCTCAGAGAAATAGATTGGAATTTTTCCCCCTTGGAATGAGTTCTGCTAACAAGGGACAGATTCACCATCTTAAAAACAGCCATCAGTAGACAGATCAAAGTGGAGAGAAGTAAGTGAATAGCAAAAGACTTTGGAATTAGCCATTCAACCAACCAGTCATGCCTGGTAAGTAATGGTGGAGGGCAGGCTACAATGTCGAAAAATGAGTTCATTCATTTTGTTTATACCAGCCAAGGTGGGAGAAGAGAGGGAGGGATGAGCCTGCAGTGTTCTATTTGATTTTATGTTTTAAAGGTTTGTTAGCTATACTCTTAAAATATTTCTTTGAAATGCCAAGAATGATGTGTTTCTCTAGATCACAGAAACCTAGAGAGGCACAAATCTGGAATATATTTCCTTTTTTATCAGACCTTTGATTTTGCCAGTGGAGTAATGGGACTCCTAGGGTGAAATTCTCTTTACGTATGCAGATTGGCAGTTCCTCTTGTATCCTGTTGTCTTATAGGGTGCAGTGATTTGCTTAGGGTCAAATAAGGGAGTATATGTCAGAAGCAGTACTAGAATCTGGGTCTTCCTGCTGTCAAGGCTAGTCCTTGATCCATTATGCCATACTGCCTCTATACTAATATGACTGTTTTTAGTCAGGTCATCAGTACACTCAGAATCTAATATTCAGCTATTCTTTTGATAATCATAGTTACAGCAGCAAAAATTCTGTTTTGGTATTGTGACTGACAGCTATATGCATAAGTTTTCAGAAATGACATGAGATAAGATTATTTGAGCTAGGGGTCAAATTGCCTTTTTCCCTGTGCTATGTATTTTGGATAAAATATGTCCATTTCTTTCAGGCTGCTGCCGTCTTCTATGTTTATATATAAAAACCTTTGCAAGTAAAAGTTAAAACTTTTGAAAATGGATTGTATGCTGAAAATATAAGGGCCTCCCTACAAGGATTTGGGGATATAAGGCACACATAAGGGCAGCTAGGTGGCGCAGTGGATAGAGCACTGGTTCTGAGGTCAGGAGGACCTGAGTTCAAAGCCGGCCTCAGATCAAACACTTGACACTTACTAACTGTGTGACCCTGGGCAAGTCACTTAACCCCAATTGCCTTTAAAAGAAAAAAAGAAAAAGCTGTAAGGCAAACATCACATACAACCACTCTCTGCCAAGTCCTAGGACACTAAAGGGGGAAGTATATGAGGACAAGAGGATTTCAGTAGTAAGCCCATCACTGAGGATCCTGTAAGGCATAATTATTTAGGGTTATTAGCTTATGTAACTAAATAGATTTAGTATTTAAGAATGCAATGTTGCATTTATTCCTAGTTT